ATATTCTTAAATAAAAAATAACAAAATTTATATTCCTTTATTTTTTTATGATGCGACAAATTTTATATTCCTATTTACACCATTTCTCAATAGAACACTACAAAAAGAAAATAAATAATCTTATTCCTATTTTAATAATTACAATATTTTAATCTTTTTCATAAAAAATAATTAAAATAATATAATTTAAAATTTTTTTTTCTAATTTTTTGCCAATAAAATTGATAAACATTTTTCCTATATATTAAACTTTCATAAAATTCTGTCTCCACATTGGTACAAAAAAAATACTATTAAAATAATATTCCTATCTATGATCTCCACAAACACGAAAAGTCACCTTTACTTTGCCATTGCCACACAAAAGCTCAGATATATATATAGCCAAACCCCTTAATCTAGGTCTCCACCTTCCATCCTTACACTCCATTTCATTATATCTATCTCTGCACGCAGCAACAATGGTTCTGTCTAAGACCGCGTCGGAGTCTGATGAGTCCATTTACTCGACTTTTGCTTCCAGATATGTCCGAACACCACTTCCGAGGTTCAAGATGCCGGAGAACGCAATCCCGAAGGAAGCAGCCTATCAGATCATAAACGATGAGCTGATGCTGGATGGGAATCCTAGGCTCAACCTCGCCTCCTTCGTCACCACCTGGATGGAGCCCGAATGCGACAAGCTCATCATGGCTGCCATTAACAAGAACTACGTCGACATGGACGAGTATCCGGTTACCACCGAGTTGCAGGTAAGTCTTAATTTCTAGTTTCTTCTTAATTCTTCTTCTTCGGTTCTTCAGTTTCTTATGGTTTGATCGATCTGACCATGATCTAAGCGCTGATGTAATATATGAAAAAAAGAAAAGTTTAATGAATAGATGAACAAAGTTGGTCTAAGTTAAAGGCATCAATTAAACCTAAATTAAGTATTTACTCGGTACTACAATGTGGTCCCGTTCAGTTACTACCTGTTCCAATAATTTTAGAGTACTTTTTTTTTTTTTTTTTTTCTTTTTTTTTATTTAATGTTTGAAGGATAT